GTGTCTAGAGTGAACACCACCACGTGTCTAGAGTGAACACCACCACGTGTCTAGAGTGAACACCACCACGTGTCTAGAGTGAACACCACCACGCGTCTAGAGTGAACACCGGAACGCGTCCAGAGTGAACACCGCCACGCGTCTAGAGCGAACACCACCACGCGTCTAGAGTGAACACCGCCACGTGTCTAGAGTGAACACCACCACGCGTCCAGAGTGAACACCGCCACGCGTCTAGAGTGAACACCGCCACGTGTCTAGTGTGAACACCGCCACGTGTCTAGAGTGAACACCGCCACGCGTCCAGAATGAACACCGCCACGCGTCTAGAGTGAACACCGCCACGCGTCTAGAGTGAACACCGCCACGCGTCTAGAGTGAACACCGCCACGCGTCTAGAGTGAACACCGCCACGTGTCTAGAGTGAACACCGCCACGCGTCTAGAGTGAACACCACCACGTGTCTAGAGTGAACACCACCACGTGTCTTGAATGAACACCGCCACGCGTCTAGAGTGAACACCACCACGCGTCCAGAGTGAACACCGCCACGCGTCTAGAGTGAACACCGCCACGTGTCTAGAGTGAACACCGCCACGTGTCTAGAGTGAACACCGCCACGTGTCTAGAGTGAACACCGCCACGCGTCCAGAGTGAACACCGCCACGCGTCTAGAGTGAACACCGCCACGCGTCTAGAGTGAACACCGCCACGCGTCCAGAGTGAACACCGCCACGTGTCTAGAGTGAACACCACCACGCGTCCAGAGTGAACACCGCCACGCGTCTAGAGTGAACACCGCCACGTGTCTAGAGTGAACACCGCCACGTGTCTAGAGTGAACACCACCACGTGTCTATAGTGAACACCACCACGCGTCTAGAGTGAACACCGCCACGTGTCTAGAGTGAACACCGCCACGTGTCTAGAGTGAACACCGCCACGTGTCTAGAGTGAACACCGCCACGTGTCTAGAGTGAACACCGCCACGTGTCTAGAGTGAACACCGCCACGCGCCTTGTTGTTGCTGTGGGCAGGTCACTTCTGATAACAAGAGCGGTACAGCAGCTCAAGCGGGCGTGGCCTGGTAACAAAAAAAACTGTGTTAATATAGAATATTTAAACAAAGTTACAAAGTGGCGATCCGTGTGAAGACAAATTCAACTTAAGCGAGAGAATTGAAGCAAACGCCATCAGGCGAGGGCAGGAGGCAAGGCCCCGCGTTGTAAAGTCCCACCCTGGACATCGCTTCCATGCTCGCTGCTACTCAAATGACATCCCTACGAGAGAGAGAGCGAGGCTCTACCTCGGTAAACAACAACCACCACAATCACCACCACAACCACCACAACCACCACCACAACCACCACCACAACCACCACCACCAAAACAACCACCACCACCAAAACAACCACCACCACCAAAACAACCACCACAATAACCACAACAACAACCACAACCACCACAATCACCACAACCGCGATGAGAATTTCTCACCTCGGATTTCAGTGCACGGGCCGAGCGGCAACTTCCTGGTCCCTCGTGACGTCACGCGGCAGCAGGTGACATGACGTCACTAGCGGTGTACGATGACACTCCCCTCCCCACATTGAGCGGCTCGAAACTCGCGACGGCTTTCACGAATAAATTATGTTAATGAGCCGCCAGTCACCGGGCGTGGCTTTGCCCAAATAAGGATTGGCACTGGAACAGACATCGGCTGCGGCCGAGCGAAAGTGACGTCACGCTCAAGAGCTCGGTGGTCGGGGTAGGTGACATGACGTCCCTAGCGAGGCACACCTCCCCCTGGCGTTTGACGCAGATGAGGTCACGCTGAGCGGCGACGTCTGAGGGCGGGGTCAGAGTTCAAGTTTGTTGACAGAAGGGGAGCGGCAGTGTCGTGCTGAGCGCTGCGCCGAGTTCCATTCCCGCTCGTGGCCAACATCGCCAGTGACGACTTTCTGAGCCGGTCCTGAGCCTCCCCTACGTCGAGTCAGCCTCAAAAGAGTACCCGGTGCGGTGTCAACATCGCCACTGGGGAGACAAAGGCGGCCGGGCGTGGTGCTGGCCACCCACCCCCTCGTGTGTTGTCCCACCCTTAATAGGTGCTCGCTAACAGCACTTGCCCCAACATTCTGTGCAGGCTTTACGGGGGATCTTTGTGTTTGTGTTAGGTGATCGCTAACAGCACTTGCCCTGACATTCTGTCCAGGCTTTACGGGGGATCTTTGTCTTTGTGTTGGGAGCAACTTTGAGTGGCGTGTAGCCGTGGGAGCTGAACGGGCGCCTGCTGCTACTGACAGTCGTTGACTGCGGTGGGACAGACAGACAAGACATGCGGACAGACACAGACAAGAGGAACACAGAGACGACATGGACAGAGACAGGCAGAGAGAGAGAGACACATAGAGGCGAATAGAGGCGAACAGAGACACAGAGGCGAACAGAGAGATGTTGAATCGAACTCACTGAACTCGCTCCATTGAAAGAGATTCCTCGCTCTTTGCCCATCCCCGGAAGTCGTTCTAGTTTCTATTTATTTCCCTGTGTATGGTGTGTAGTGTAAGCAATGTGGGATATCGATGTACACGGATATGAACTAGAGCAGCAGACAAGACGTCTTTCATTTATCAGTCTCTCCGCGAAACAAAGGAATGTTTTACACAAAATATAATAACTACTGCAGCATTCAGTGCAAGTCAACTGTGGACCGGTTTTGGTGTACAATTTATACGTAAATATATAAGCACACGACTTCATTTATCTGTGACGAACGCTGCACTTTCCATCGCTTTCATGCAGGGGGCGCTGCAAACCTACGCGCCCCCTGCATGAACGACAGAGGCGCAGGGACAGACGTTCGATCGCGTTGGAATCGATCTGCAGACGGCGGTCTTCTCCCAACCAGGTGAAAGTCCGCATCGAACAGAATCCGCGGCAAGGCAATCTACTTAACGACTAGAGAAAATTCACATGAAATGTCGTTTTCAATTAAGTCTTCCATATGTAAAATGATATAAGCTTTTAAAGAAAAAATACAATGATCTAATGCAAAACATAATACAATTCAAAGTTGTTTCATTTTGAAACTTCACAACGGAGCATCGGGTGCTTGCGTGAATGCGTCTTTCGGGTGCAATTTTTTCGTGACTTTCCTGGCCCAAGGCCGTAAATGGTTGAGGGGCACCGCAGGCGGTCAGGCTTGCTTCACCCCATGGTTGTGAACATCCAGACGTTAATCAGCAAGGACCATTTCTTGTCCTAGTTCGCCAACATATAAGACGTCATGCAAAATTCTAATGAGTGTTGTTGTGGAGAATGTATCTACAAGATGTGCTTTGCATTGTAACCAAATACAAATCTGTACCAAAAATGTATTTCAAATAGGCTCTTAGAATTACCTCCTTGCTATGAAGCAGATCAGCAGACACGACATCTTTCATTTATCGATCTCTCCACGAAACAAATGAATGTTTTACACAAACTATAACTAGCACAGACTTCTGGGAGCGCGTCATTGATTCAGTGCAAGCCACCTGTGGACCCTTATTGGTGCACAGCGTCTCAACAGCAGCCGGGCTTGTTTCAACCGATAGTTACGGACATCCAGACGTTAATCAGCAAGGAGCATTTCTAGTCCGAGTTAGACAAAATCTGTCAACACGTAATGCAAAATTATAATTCGTGTTATAGAGAATGTACCTCCTCTACGTGTAACTTTTAAGTGGTTTGCCTTGTAACTGATGAATGATCCGAGTGTGCTCCCTATTTCAAAGACAATGAGTTGCTCCAGAGAGAGATGCTTCCTGAAAACACAAAAATACCCTTTGACCTGTATCACAAGAACAAGGAGTCTCACCTGAGTTATCTGTACAGGTTACTTGCAAAACACAAACTTTGTCCTAACATCACTTACTCAATGTTTGACCCTTATAGACAAAAGGTTACATGTACGCACACAATCAGACAAGTATTCATTCTAAATTAGTGACAGGCATGTTAACAAAATTGAATTACTGCACTAGGTTACATCGCATTAGCAAGAAGCTAATTAAAAAAATACACAAAATCTGCTTAACAGTGTATGTACAACATACTAATGCACCATTCAAAACGAGTAGGCCATTGCATGCTGGCATCTGGGTCAAAATTTATCAAATACTAAACATTACCTACAAACTCCACAACTGAGATGCCACATCAACCATCGCCCCCTACTGACAGGCTCTTGTCCACATGCAGGCCGGTGCAGGGCCACCACCTTGTGCCACACAGGGGCAGCTGCTACTTGGGGATGTTCTTGGAGTGTTGAGACGAGATACGATACAAAACTCCGAGTTGCCAGAGGCGATTAAGCAAGCACCATATAAATGCAATTATGAGAACATAGTGAATGCTTGGGAGCTTATTGGCTCTCGCTTCTGGTTCGAAATCTACCCAACAAACAGGTCCACAAAGACTGGCCGCTCTTACCCTGCAGGTTGCACCTAGGAACCGAGTATTAAACTTCACATTCTTGTCATTAAAGGCCTGTGACAAAGGAGCATCTATTGGAGCGACATCATCTCAAGCTTACACATCTCCCGGGTCTCCATTTGACTTTGTATTGTCTCGGAGGAAGTCCACCCACACCTCCACTTCCATAAACTGCTGGAAGTTGCCTCGCTCTGACTCACAGTCAGAATTCTCCTCCTGCTTCACGTTGTCTCCATCGATGTGAAGGTCCAATTTTGTGGTTGAATCTTCATCTTCACATTTTACCTTCACTTCTTCGCTCTTCACCATCACTTCTTCACATTTCACCGTCACCTCTTCATATTTCACCTCGATTTCTTTGAAAATGTCCAAGCTGGGATTTTCTTCCGGTTCTTGTTTGATGAGGGATGGGCTCATTGCAGCACTTTGACTTTCTAAAGCTGATTTCAGACTCCACTCCTGGTGGATCTTCTGATGCTTGTGTGATCTCTGGTAGACATGAAAATTTGATGAACGTGCAAACGCCTTCCCGCACGGAGTGCACTTGAAGGGTTTCTCTCCCGTGTGTATTTTCTGGTGTACTACAAGATGAGATAAATTTGCAAACGCCTTCACACACACACTGCACTTATAGGGTTTCTCTCCCGTGTGTGTTCTCAGGTGTTTTACAAGAGTAGATGAATGTCCAAATGCCTTCCCACACACGCTGCACTCGAAGGGTTTCTCTCCCGTGTGTGTTCTCTGGTGTGATACAAGAGCAGATGAATGTCCAAACGCCTTCCCACACACACTGCACTTGCAGGGTTTCTCTCCCGTGTGAGTTCTCTGGTGTGCTACAAGAGTAGATGAATGTCCAAACGCCTTCCCACACACACTGCACTTGAAGGGTTTCTCTCCTGTGTGAGTTCTCTGGTGCAGTGTCAAATTTCTAAGACGATCCGCGCTGTATGCACACCGGTTGCATTGATGCCTTTTTGCACCGAGCTGCGCCGAGTGCCTTTGCTCCATCAGACCAATTCTGCAGAGGAAGCGGCAGCTGCAGACAGAAAAAGAATATCCACACCATCTACACATCAGTATCGAGGCACAGCGGAATGCATATACACAGTCACACGTGACTTACACGTCTATAATGATTAATAGATATTCATGATATAGTTGTAAAAGTGTCCCAAATTCATCACACGGCCTGTTGTGGCACACAATGAGAGGGCAAATGAGTATAAACATGCCTGGAAGCCCTCATATCTTCAAAATGAATGTTAACCCAAAATTCCGAGCACACAATATTGGCTGTCTGGCTTCAAAAGGAATATTTATGAAAGCTAAATTCAGCTGACATAGCAAAAGGTGTTGAAAAGAATACTATTTGTGTTATGCAGAAATGCATAAATTAATGTTCAATCGCAACTTAGAGGTGTGAAGCCAGCCAGGCTCACGATGTCCTTGAATGCTGGGATGAGCAGATCTGACTTCAGCTGCATGTGTGTGCCGTGTTAACTTCCTGACTCCATTCTTACAAAGAGTTCCAGAGGAAAACAAAAAACAACTACTGTTTTGATATAACCTCCGTGCTCAATAGAGTTAATAGACTTTACTGCAAATACAAACTTGACACTGTCACACACTCAGAGGCGGAGCCAGGATTTTCAGGTAGGGGGGGCAACCCCTCCAGCAATGAAAAATGATAGTTGTTATTAAGGAGTTGTTAGTAAGTAAGGAGTTGTTAGTAAGGAGTTGTTAGTAGGCAAGGCCTTGTCCCTTGCTTTTTATTCGACGCGTGTGATCGGCATCGCGCTCGCTGAAGGTGTTGAGGCCGATGAAGGTGTTGTGTGGTTATTCTTGACACCACTGGAGACTTGTAGATCCACACGGAGACGGAACTTCATGTAAGGGCTTGCGCCAGTTGTTTATTAACCACTCTTCACATGTCATTTACACTCTGAGTACTAAACACTCACTGTCTACACTCCACACCCGACGCCTGCCCCCGTTATGGTGCGTGTCAGAACTCTGGCCTGCACGTGGAACTGTCTCCCATTATTCTACGCCCCGGCACGGCTTCCCCTCGTCTGCCCCGGGCGGGGGCACGCCATCACCGCCCGGCGACGAGGTTGGGCTTCTAACCCTCTAGCCTTCCTTCGGCGGCGGCTGGGCTGTTCCCACTGCAGGCACACGTTCCCATCTCTACTCACACTCCACACCCCAGGGGAAGGGTACTGGGGATTCCTAGCACTCACACAGGCTACTCTAGCCTGGCGCTAATTTCCCCCTACCCTGGGTCCCAACTTCCAACCTCACAGGTCCCACCCTAAATATGATGTCACCGTCCCACCCGCCGTGCATGACGTCACTCTCTGCCGTCACTGCACCGGAGGGCGAGCGTGACGCAACGTCATTATTTACTACTCTACAAAGGCATTGGCTTATCGGAGTTTCAATACAAATCCGTGCGAAGAACGGGTACAACTGCCATCTTAAATATAAAGCAGAAATTACACCTGTTTGTTTGTGTGAAGCAGCAAAAACTCTCCAACGCTGAGCTCTGGCGTCATGAAATTTTCACAGCTTATGCTGTCTGGAATTTCAAAGCGAACACGACTATTTTCAGCTCGCCACGTCATTCCCTTCCTGAGTTGCCAAAATCGACCTTACGTAGAAGTGGGTTACGGTTGAATTTCCTTGAATGAAAAAATCCGATTTAGGTAAATTGATGTGTTTCGGCTTTTCTTTCTTGCAAGCATACATTTTTTTCAGGGGTTTTCAGTGAAATATAAGGGAATATTAAATTTATCCATGACAAGAATCCAAGTCCCGGGCGAAGCCGGGTAGTGAAGCTAGTTACTAATAAACCCCAATGATCCTATCGAAATTAGGGATTTAGATGGGATCGTTGGGGGGGTACGTGCCACCCCACCCCCACTGGCTCCACCACCGTCACACACTGGCATGGTTCACAGGTGGTGGTGTGTCCAGACCCACGCCTGGCCACCTTCACCTGCTCAGTATAAATGCTTCCTCACTCCACCAAGTAATTCATTGAGGATCAATCAACACAGCCGATGCTGCGTGTCTCTCTCTCCCCGTGGTGTTAACTACCTCTCCTGGCATACAGGAAATTGTGGGTTCGATCCCGACCCTGACGCCTGCTGTATATTTGGAGTTTGCGTCTCTCTCTCTCTTCCAGTGGTCGCGTAGATTTCCCTCCAGATCCCCCAGTTGTCCCCACTCCACATGTAGAGAGTGAACACCGCCACGCGTCTCGAGTGAACACCGCCACGTGTCTAGAGTGAACACCGCCACGTATCTAGAGTGAACACCACCACGCGTCCAGAGTGAACACCGCCACGTGTCTAGAGTGAACACCGCCACGTGTCTAGAGTGAACACCGCCACGCGTCTAGAGTGAACACCGCCACGCGTCTAGAGTGAACACCGCCACACGTCTAGAGTGAACACCGCCACGCGTCCAGAGTGAACACCGCCACGTGTCTAGAGTGAACACCGCCACGCGTCTAGAGTGAACACCGCCACACGTCTAGAGTGAACACCGCCACGCGTCTAGAGTGAACACCACCACGCATCTAGAGTGAACACCACCACGTGTCTAGAGTGAACACCGCCACGCGTCTAGAGTGAACACCACCACGCGTCTAGAGTGAACACCACCACGCGTCTAGAGTGAACACCACCACGTGTCTAGAGTGAACACCACCACGCGTCTAGAGTCAACACCGCTATGCGTCTAGAGTGAACACCACCACGTGTCTAGAGTGAACACCGCCACGCATCTAGAGTGAACACCACAACGTGTCTAGAGTGAACACCGCCACGCGTCTAGAGTGAACACCACCACGTGTCTAGAGTGAACACCGCCACGCGTCTAGAGTGAACACCGCCACGCGTCTAGAGTGAACACCACCACGCGTCTAGAGTGAACACCACCACGCGTCTAGAGTGAACACCACCACGTGTCTAGAGTGAACACCGCCACGCGTCTAGAGTCAACACCGCTATGCGTCTAGAGTGAACACCACCACGTGTCTAGAGTGAACACCGCCACGCATCTAGAGTGAACACCGCCACGTGTCTAGAGTGAACACCGCCACGTGTCTAGAGTGAACACCGCCACTTGTCTAGAGTGAACACCGCCACGCGTCTAGAGTGAACACCGCCACGCGTCTAGAGTGAACACCGCCACGCGTCTAGAGTGAACACCGCCACGCGTCCAGAGTGAACACCGCCACGCGTCTAGAGTGAACACCGCCACTTGTCTAGAGTGAACACCGCCACGCGTCTAGAGTGAACACCACCACGTGTCTAGAGTGAACACCGCCACGCGTCCAGAGTGAACACTGCCACGCGTCCAGAGTGAACACCACCACACGTCTAGAGTGAACACCGCCACGTGTCTAGAGTGAACACCACCACGCGTCCAGAGTGAACACCACCACTCGTCTAGAGTGAACACCACCACGCGTCTAGAGTGAACACCACCACGCATCTAGAGTGAACACCACCACGCGTCTAGAGTGAACACCGCCACGTGTCTAGAGTGAACACCGCCACGCGTCTAGAGTGAACACCACCACGCGTCTAGAGTGAACACCGCCACGTGTCTAGAGTGAACACCGCCACGTGTCTAGAGTGAACACCGCCATGTGTCTAGAGTGAACACCGCCACGTGTCTAGAGTGAACACCGCCACGTGTCTAGAGTGAACACCACCACGCGTCTAGAGTGAACACCGCCACGTGTCTAGAGTGAACACCACCACGCGTCTAGAGTGAACACCGCCACGCGTCCAGAGTGAACACCGCCACGTGTCTAGAGTGAACACCACGTGTCTAGAGTGAACACCACCACACGTCTAGAGTGAACACCGCCACGCGTCCAGAGTGAACACCGCCACGTGTCTAGAGTGAACACCACCACACGTCTAGAGTGAACACCGCCACGCGTCCAGAGTGAACACCGCCACGTGTCTAGAGTGAACACCACCACACGTCTAGAGTGAACACCGCCACGCGTCCAGAGTGAACACCGCCACGTGTCTAGAGTGAACACCGCCACGCGTCTAGAGTGAACACCACCACGCGTCCAGAGTGAACACCACCACGCGTCTAGAGTGAACACCGCCACGCGTATAGAGTGAACACCACCACGTGTCTAGAGTGAACACCACCACACGTCTAGAGTGAACACCGCCACGTGTCTAGAGTGAACACCACCACGCGTCCAGAGTGAACACCACCACGCGTCTAGAGTGAACACCACCACGTGTCTAGAGTGAACACCGCCACGCGTCTAGAGTGAACACCACCACGCGTCTAGAGTGAACACCGCCACGCGTCTAGAGTGAACACCGCCACGCATCTAGAGTGAACACCACCACGCGTCTAGAGTGAACACCACCACGTGTCTAGAGTGAACACCGCCACGTGTCTAGAGTGAACACCGCCACGTGTCTAGAGTGAACACCGCCACGCATCTAGAGTGAACACCGCCACGTGTCTAGAGTGAACACCACCACGTGTCTAGAGTGAACACCACCACGCGTCTAGAGTGAACACCGCCACGCGTATAGAGTGAACACCACCACGCGTCTAGAGTGAACACCACCACACGTCTAGAGTGAACACCGCCACGCGTCCAGTGAACACCGCCACGTGTCTAGAGTGAACACCGCCACGTGTCTAGAGTGAACACCGCCACGTGTCTAGAGTGAACACCGCCACGCGTCTAGAGTGAACACCGCCACGTGTCTAGAGTGAACACCGCCACGTGTCTAGAGTGAACACCGCCACGCGTCTAGAGTGAACACCGCCACGCGTATAGAGTAAACACCACCACGCGTCTAGGGTGAACACCACCACACGTCTAGAGTGAACACCGCCACGGGTCCAGAGTGAACACCGCCACGTGTCTAGAGTGAACACCGCCACGCGTCTAGAGTGAACACCGCCACGTGTCTAGAGTGAACACCGCCACGTGTCTAGAGTGAACACCGCCACGCGTCTAGAGTGAACACCGCCACGCGTATAGAGTAAACACCACCACGCGTCTAGAGTGAACACCACCACACGTCTAGAGTGAACACCGCCACGGGTCCAGAGTGAACACCGCCACGTGTCTAGAGTGAACACCGCCACGTGTCTAGAGTGAACACCGCCACGCGTCTAGAGTGAACACCGCCACGCGTCCAGAGTGAACACCGCCACGTGTCTAGAGTGAACACCGCCACGCGTCTAGAGTGAACACCGCCACACGTCTAGAGTGAACACCGCCACGCGTCTAGAGTGAACACCACCACGCATCTAGAGTGAACACCACCACGTGTCTAGAGTGAACACCGCCACGCGTCTAGAGTGAACACCACCACGCGTCTAGAGTGAACACCACCACGCGTCTAGAGTGAACACCACCACGTGTCTAGAGTGAACACCACCACGCGTCTAGAGTCAACACCGCTATGCGTCTAGAGTGAACACCACCACGTGTCTAGAGTGAACACCGCCACGCATCTAGAGTGAACACCACAACGTGTCTAGAGTGAACACCGCCACGCGTCTAGAGTGAACACCACCACGTGTCTAGAGTGAACACCGCCACGCGTCTAGAGTGAACACCGCCACGCGTCTAGAGTGAACACCACCACGCGTCTAGAGTGAACACCACCACGCGTCTAGAGTGAACACCACCACGTGTCTAGAGTGAACACCACCACGCGTCTAGAGTCAACACCGCTATGCGTCTAGAGTGAACACCACCACGTGTCTAGAGTGAACACCGCCACGCATCTAGAGTGAACACCGCCACGTGTCTAGAGTGAACACCGCCACGTGTCTAGAGTGAACACCGCCACTTGTCTAGAGTGAACACCGCCACGCGTCTAGAGTGAACACCGCCACGCGTCTAGAGTGAACACCGCCACGCGTCTAGAGTGAACACCGCCACGCGTCTAGAGTGAACACCGCCACGCGTCTAGAGTGAACACCGCCACGCGTCCAGAGTGAACACCGCCACGCGTCTAGAGTGAACACCGCCACTTGTCTAGAGTGAACACCGCCACGCGTCTAGAGTGAACACCACCACGTGTCTAGAGTGAACACCGCCACGCGTCCAGAGTGAACACTGCCACGCGTCCAGAGTGAACACCACCACACGTCTAGAGTGAACACCGCCACGTGTCTAGAGTGAACACCACCACGCGTCCAGAGTGAACACCACCACTCGTCTAGAGTGAACACCACCACGCGTCTAGAGTGAACACCACCACGCATCTAGAGTGAACACCACCACGCGTCTAGAGTGAACACCGCCACGTGTCTAGAGTGAACACCGCCACGCGTCTAGAGTGAACACCACCACGCGTCTAGAGTGAACACCGGCCACGTGTCTAGAGTGAACACCGCCACGTGTCTAGAGTGAACACCGCCATGTGTCTAGAGTGAACACCGCCACGTGTCTAGAGTGAACACCGCCACGTGTCTAGAGTGAACACCACCACGCGTCTAGAGTGAACACCGCCACGTGTCTAGAGTGAACACCACCACGCGTCTAGAGTGAACACCGCCACGCATCCAGAGTGAACACCGCCACGTGTCTAGAGTGAACACCACGTGTCTAGAGTGAACACCACCACACGTCTAGAGTGAACACCGCCACGCGTCCAGAGTGAACACCGCCACGTGTCTAGAGTGAACACCACCACACGTCTAGAGTGAACACCGCCACGCGTCCAGAGTGAACACCGCCACGTGTCTAGAGTGAACACCACCACACGTCTAGAGTGAACACCGCCACGCGTCCAGAGTGAACACCGCCACGTGTCTAGAGTGAACACCGCCACGCGTCTAGAGTGAACACCACCACGCGTCCAGAGTGAACACCACCACGCGTCTAGAGTGAACACCGCCACGCGTATAGAGTGAACACCACCACGTGTCTAGAGTGAACACCACCACACGTCTAGCGTGAACACCGCCACGTGTCTAGAGTGAACACCACCACGCGTCCAGAGTGAACACCACCACGCGTCTAGAGTGACACCACCACGTGTCTAGAGTGACACACCGCCACGCGTCTAGAGTGAACACCACCACGCGTCTAGAGTGAACACACCACGTCTAGAGTGAACACCGGCCACGCAGTCTAGAGTGAACACCGCCACGCATTCTAGAGTGAACACCACCACGGTCTAGAGTGAACACCACCACGTGTCTAGAGTGAACACCGCCACGTGTCTAGAGTGAACACCGCCACGTGTCTAGAGTGAACACCGCCACGCATCTAGAGTGAACACCGCCACGTGTCTAGAGTGAACACCACCACGTGTCTAGAGTGAACACCACCACGCGTCTAGAGTGAACACCGCCACGCGTATAGAGTGAACACCACCACGCGTCTAGAGTGAACACCACCACACGTCTAGAGTGAACACCGCCACGCGTCCAGTGAACACCGCCACGTGTCTAGAGTGAACACCGCCACGTGTCTAGAGTGAACACCGCCACGTGTCTAGAGTGAACACCGCCACGCGTCTAGAGTGAACACCGCCACGTGTCTAGAGTGAACACCGCCACGTGTCTAGAGTGAACACCGCCACGCGTCTAGAGTGAACACCGCCACGCGTATAGAGTAAACACCACCACGCGTCTAGAGTGAACACCACCACACGTCTAGAGTGAACACCGCCACGGGTCCAGAGTGAACACCGCCACGTGTCTAGAGTGAACACCGCCACGTGTCTAGAGTGAACACCGCCACGCGTCTAGAGTGAACACCGCCACGCGTCTAGAGTGAACACCGCCACGTGTCTAGAGTAAACACCACCACGCGTCTAGAGTGAACACCGCCACGCGTCTAGAGTGAACACCGTCACGCGTCTAGAGTGAACACCACCATGCGTCTAGAGTGAACACCACCACGCGTCTAGAGTGAACACCACCACACGTCTAGAGTGAACACCGCCACGGGTCCAGAGTGAACACCGCCACGCGTCTAGAGTGAACACCACCACGCGTCTAGAGTGAACACCGCCACGTGTCTAGAGTGAACACCGCCACGTGTCTAGAGTGAACACCGCCATGTGTCTAGAGTGAACACCGCCACGTGTCTAGAGTGAACACCGCCACGTGTCTAGAGTGAACACCACCACGCGTCTAGAGTGAACACCGCCACGTGTCTAGAGTGAACACCACCACGCGTCTAGAGTGAACACCGCCACGCGTCCAGAGTGAACACCGCCACGTGTCTAGAGTGAACACCACGTGTCTAGAGTGAACACCACCACACGTCTAGAGTGAACACCGCCACGCGTCCAGAGTGAACACCGCCACGTGTCTAGAGTGAACACCACCACACGTCTAGAGTGAACACCGCCACGCGTCCAGAGTGAACACCGCCACGTGTCTAGAGTGAACACCACCACACGTCTAGAGTGAACACCGCCACGCGTCCAGAGTGAACACCGCCACGTGTCTAGAGTGAACACCGCCACGCGTCTAGAGTGAACACCACCACGCGTCCAGAGTGAACACCACCACGCGTCTAGAGTGAACACCGCCACGCGTATAGAGTGAACACCACCACGTGTCTAGAGTGAACACCACCACACGTCTAGAGTGAACACCGCCACGTGTCTAGAGTGAACACCACCACGCGTCCAGAGTGAACACCACCACGCGTCTAGAGTGAACACCACCACGTGTCTAGAGTGAACACCGCCACGCGTCTAGAGTGAACACCACCACGCGTCTAGAGTGAACACCGCCACGCGTCTAGAGTGAACACCGCCACGCATCTAGAGGTGAACACCACCACGCGTCTAGAGTGAACACCACCACGTGTCTAGAGTGAACACCGCCACGTGTCTAGAGTGAACACCGCCACGTGTCTAGAGTGAACACCCGCCACGCATCTAGAGTGAACACCGCCACGTGTCTAGAGTGAACACCACCACGTGTCTAGAGTGAACACCACCACGCGTCTAGAGTGAACACCGCCACGCGTATAGAGTGAACACCACCACGCGTCTAGAGTGAACACCACCACACGTCTAGAGTGAACACCGCCACGCGTCCAGTGAACACCGCCACGTGTCTAGAGTGAACACCGCCACGTGTCTAGAGTGAACACCGCCACGTGTCTAGAGTGAACACCGCCACGCGTCTAGAGTGAACACCGCCACGTGTCTAGAGTGAACACCGCCACGTGTCTAGAGTGAACACCGCCACGCGTCTAGAGTGAACACCGCCACGCGTATAGAGTAAACACCACCACGCGTCTAGAGTGAACACCACCACACGTCTAGAGTGAACACCGCCACGGGTCCAGAGTGAACACCGCCACGTGTCTAGAGTGAACACCGCCACGTGTCTAGAGTGAACACCGCCACGCGTCTAGATGTGAACACCGCCACGCGTCTAGAGTGAACACCGCCACGTGTCTAGAGTAAACACCACCACGCGTCTAGAGTGAACACCGCCACGCGTCTAGAGTGAACACCGTCACGCGTCTAGAGTGAACACCACCACGCGTCTAGAGTGAACACCACCACGCGGTCTAGAGTGAACACCACCACACGTCTAGAGTGAACACCGCCACGGGTCCAGAGTGAACACCGCCACGTGTCTAGAGTGAACACCGTCACGCGTTTAGAGTGAACACCGTCACGCGTCTAGAGTGAACACCGCCACGCGTATAGAGTAAACACCACCACGCGTCTAGAGTGAACACCACCACACGTCTAGAGTGAACACTGCCACGGGTCCAGAGTGAACACCGCCACGTGTCTAGAGTGAACACCGCCACGTGTCTAGAGTGAACACCGCCACGCGTCTAGCGTGAACACCGCCACGGCGTCTAGAGTGAACACCACCACGCGTCTAGAGTGAACACCGCCACGCGTCTAGAGTGAACACCACCACGCGTCTAGAGTGAACACCACCACGCGTCTAGAGTGAACACCACGCGTCTAGAGTGAGCACCGCCACGCGTCTAGAGTGAACACCGCCACGCTGTTGACAAGCCTCACCTTGTTGTTATTGTTGTTGTGGGCAGGTCGCTTGTGAAAACAAGAGCGGTACAGCAGCTCAAGCGGGCTTGGCCTGGTAAAAATAAAAACTGTGCATATTTAAAGTAAAACAAAGTTACAAAGTGGCGAGCCGGGTGAAGACAAATTCAACTTAAGCGAGATATAATTGTTTTTTTATTCTTCTATCTGGCAAGAAAACTGACACCTTTTTTACAAAAAGTCATGTTTGCATAGACCACAATACCTGCAGTCGGAACACAAACAAAAAACTCTAAGCGAGAGAATTGAAGCAAACGCGATCAGGCGAGGGCAGGAGGCAAGGCCCCGCGTTGTATAGTTCCAACGTGGACATCGCTTCCATGCTCGCTGCTACTCAAATGACATCCCTACGAGAGAGAGAGCGAGGCTCTACCTCGGTACACAACAACCACCACCACCACCACCACAACAACCATCACCACAAATACCACAACCACCACCCCCACCACAACTACAACCGCGATGATGATTTCTCACCTCGGATTGCAGTTCACGGGCGGAGCGGCAACTTCCTGGTCCCTCGCGACGTCACGCGGCAGCAGGTGACATGACGTCACTTACGGGGAACACCTCCCCCTGGCGTTTGATGCCGATGAGGTCACGCTGAGCGGTGACGTCAAAGAGCGGGGTTAGAGTTCAAGTTTGTTGACAGAAAGGGAGCGGCAGTGTCGAAACGGCCTCAAACGAGTCCCCGGTGCGGTGTGTCAACATCGCCAGCACTGGGGAGACAAAGGCGGCCGGGCGTGGTGCTGGCCACCCACCCCCTCTGTGTGTGCCGTGACGACCTCCACCGGTGCTGCTACTCGCTGTGAGCAGCACTTTGTAGACGTCGTGGCTTGGCTCTCCAGCACACCGCTGGCGACATTTCACGATGACATTTTCACGTCCTTAAAAGGAAAATCGCCATACAATAACCTAGGCCGTTTTTTGGCAAAATTGGTCCAATTTTCCTCGCATTATTTTTCAACGAAAAGTGCATTCCTTGGTTGTGTTTAGCCTGAGTAGCCCATATATTACGTTATAAAGTGGGAAATTTGACCATGAAATTTGAAGTAAAGAGATCAAATCGGCATACTATACCAATGCCGTTCTTGGCCAACATTTGCTACATTTTCATAGCTAGATTTTCCAAAAAAAAGTGAATTCCTCCATTTTGTTAAGCATTAGTATGCTCTATGTTACTTTAAAAGTGGGAAATTTCACGATTAAATTTTCACGCCCCAAAAATAAAATCGGCATACTTATGCCGGTTTTAACCAAAATAAGCCAAATTGTCATAGCTTTCTTTTTCAACAAAAAGTTAATTAATCAATTGTATTTACCCTTAGTATGCTATGTATTAGATTAAAAGTGGAACATTTTATGATGAAATGTTCACATCCCAATATAGAAAATCGGCATACTAACCTATGCCGTTTTTGGCCAATAATGGACACATTTTTACAACTTCATTTTTTAACAAAAGTGCAATCCTCGGGTGTGCTTAGCCTTAGTATCCTATAGATTACATAAAAAAGAGTGGGAAATTTCATCATGAAATTTTAAAGTAAAAAAATAAAATCGGCCAAAATTGGCCAAACATTCACAGCCTTATTTGTCGACAAAAGTGCATTGCTCCATTGTATTTAGCCCGAGTATGCCATGTATTAGATTAAAAGTTGAAAATGTTATGATTAAATGTGCACGTCCCAATATATAAAATCGGCATACTAACCTATGCCGTTTTTGGCCAATAATGGACAAATATTTGCAACTTCATATTTCAACAAAAGTGCAATCCTCGGGTGTGCTTAGCCTTAGTATCCTATAGATTACATAAAAAAGAGTGGGAAATTTCATCATGAAATTTTAAAGTAAAAAAATAAAATCGGCCAAAATTGGCCAAACTTTCACAGCCTTATTTGTCGACAAAAGTGCATTGCTCCATTGTATTTAGCCCGAGTATGCCATGTATTAGATTAAAAGTTGAAAATGTTATGATTAAATGTGCACGTCCCAATATATAAAATCGGCATACTAACCTATGCCGTTTTTGGCCAATAATGGACAAATATTTGCAACTTCATATTTCAACAAAAGTGCAATCCTCGGGTGTGCTTAGCCTTAGTATCCTATATATTACGATAAAAGGTGGGAAATTTCACGCCGGGTACTTCCCGCGAGTACTCTTATATAAGCGCACAACTTCATCTGTGATGAACGCTGCACTTTCTTTTTCATGCAGGAGGCGCTGCAAACCTACGCGCCCCCTACATGAACGACGGAGGAGCAGTTGGAATCGATCTGCAGACGGCGGTCTTCTGGCACGGCCAGCTCTGTGTCGCCTTATCTCCACCCCTCGATCCCAACCAGGTGAAAGTCCGCATCGAACCGAACCCCGGCAAGGCCATCTACTTAACGACTAGAGAAAATTCACACGAAATATCGTTTTCAATGAAGTCTTCCAGATGGAAAATGATATCAGCTTTTAATGAAGAAATACAATTATCAAATGCAAAACAATATACAATTCAAAGTTGTTTCATTTTCAAACTTCAAAACGGAGCATCGGGAGTTTGCGTGGATGCATCGTTCGTGTGAATTGTTTTCGTGACTTTCCTGGCCCAAGGCCGTAAATGGTTGTGAGGGGCACCGCAGGCGGTCAGGCTTGCTTCAACCCCATGGTTGTCAACATCCAGACGTTAATCAGCAAGGACCATTTCTCGTCCTAATTCGACAAAATCTACGTCAACACGTAATACAAAATTATAATTCGTGTTGTTGAGAATGTATCTCCTCTACGTGTAACTTTTGAGTGGTTTGCCTTGTAACTGATGAATGATCCGAGTGTGCTCCCTATTTCAAAGACAATGAGTTGCTCCAGAGGGAGATGCTTCCTGAAAACACAAAAGTACCCTTTGACCTGTATCACAAGAACAATGAGTCTCACCTGAGTTATCTGTACAGGTTACTTGAAAAACACACACTATGTCCTAACATGACTTATTCAATGTTTGACTCTTATAGACAAAAGGTTACATGTACGAACCCAATCAGACAAGTATTCAGTGTAACTTATTGACAGGCATATTAACAAAATTTAATTACTGCACTGAAATATACTGCATTAGGTTACATCCTATTAACAAGAAGCTAATTAAAAAAATACGCACCGTCTGCTTAACACCATTCAAAACGAGTCGGCCATTGCATGCTGGCATCTGGGTCAAAATGTAGCAAATTCTAAACATTACCTACAAACTCCACAACTGAGATGCCACATCAACCATCGCCCCCTACTGACAGGCTCTTGTCCACATGCAGGCCGGTGCAGGGCCACCACCTTGTGCCACACAGGGGCAGCTGCTACTTGGGGATGCTCTTCGAGTGTTTGAGACGAGATACGATGCAAAACTCCGAATTACCGAGGCGATTAAGCAAGCACAGTATAAATGCAATTATGATAACAGTGAATGCTTGGGAGCTTATTGGCATTCGCTCCTGGTTAGAGATCTACCCAACACACAGGTCCACAAAGACTGGCCGCTCTTACCCTGCAGGTTGAACCTAGGAACTGAGTGTTCAACTTCACATTCTTGTCATTAAAGGCCTGTGACAAAGGTGCATCTATTGGAGCGGCATCGTCTAAGGCAGTGGTTCTTAACCTTGTTGGAGGTACTGAACCCCACCAGTTTCATATGCGCATTCACCGAACCCTTCTTAATTGGAAAAATTAAATTATTTTTTCAAATTCAAAACATAGGTACATGTTTTACTGGTGCACAATCACGAGTCAGGTGTGTGTCTTAACCTCCGCCGAACCCCTGAGACGGACTCACCGAACCCCTGGGGTTCGATCGAACCCAGGTTAAGAACCACTGGTCTAAGGCTTACGCATCTCCCGGGTCTCCATTTGACTTTGTATTGTCTCGGAGGAAGTCCACCCACACCTCCACTTCCACAAACTGCTGGGAGTTGCCTCGCTCTGCCTCACAGTCAGAATTCTCCTCCTGCTTCACGTTGCCTCCATCGATGCGAAGGTCCCATTTTGCAGTTGAATCTTCATCTTCACATTTTACCTTCACTTCTTCGCTCTTCACCATCACTTCTTCATATTTCACCATCACTTCTTCATATTTCACCTTGATTTCTTCATATTTCACCTTGACACCTTTAAAAGTGTCCAAGCTTGGATTTTCTTCCGGTTCTTGTTTGATGAGGGATGGGCTCATTGCAGCACTTTGACTTTCACAAGCTGATTTCACACTCCACTCCTGGTGGATCTTCTGATGCTTGTGTGTTCTCTGGTGTCTTTGAAGATATGGTGACCATGCAAACGCCTTCCCACACACACTGCACTTGAAGGGTTTCTCTCCCGTGTGTGTTCTCTGGTGTGCTACAAGAGTAGATGACTGTGCAAACGCCTTCCTACACACACTGCACTTGAAGGGTTTCTCTCCCGTGTGTGTTCTCTTGTGTGTTACAAGAGCAGATGACTGTGCAAATGCCTTCCCACACACACTGCACTTGAAGGGTTTCTCTCCTGTGTGAGTTCTCTGGTGCCGTGTCAAATGTGCAGGACAATCCGTGCTGTATGCACACCGGTCGCATTGTTGCCTTTTTGCACCGAGCCGCGCCGAGTGCCTTTGCTCCATGAAACCACTTCTGCAGAGGCAGCGACAGCTGCAGACAGAAACAAAGACTATCCACACCATCTACACATCAGTATCGAGGCACAGAGGAATGCATATATACACAGTCACACGTGACTTACACGTCTATAGTTATTCATATATTTATGATATAGTAAAAAAAGTGTCCCAAATTCATCACACGGGCTGTTATGGCACACAATGAGAGGGCAAATGGTCATAAACATGCCTGGAAGCCCTCGTATCTTCAAAATGAACGTTAACCCAAAACTCAGCACACAATTTCAGCTGTCTGGCTTCTAAATAAATGTTTATGAAAGCTAAATTCAGCTGACATTGCAAAGGGTGTTGAAAATAATACTATTTGTGTCATGCACAAATGCATAAATTAATGTTCAATCGCAACTTAGAGGTGTGAAGCCAGGCACAGATGTCCTTGATTGCTGGGATGAGCAGTTCCGACTTCAGCTGCTGCACGTGTGTGCTGTGATCACTTCCTGACTCCATTCTTACAAAGAGTTCCAGAGGAAAACTAAAATAAACTACTGTTTTGATATAACCTCTGTGCTCAATAGAGTTAATAGACTTTACTGCAAATACAAACTTGACACTGTCACACACTCAGAGGTGGAGCCAGGATTTTCAGGTAGGGGGGGGAAACCCCTCCAGCAATGAAAAATTACAGGAGTTGTTAGTAAGTAAGGAGTTGTTAGTGAGAAAGGAGTTGTTAGTAAGAAAGGACTTGTCCCTTGCTTTTCATTCGACGCGTGTGATCGTCATCGCGCTCGCTGAACGTGTTGATGCCTTCAGGAAAGAAAAATAGACTTTTGTATTTTGGGGGGGGGGGAATGACCATGAAGTATGTGGCATCAACCCGAGACACACCTGAGCTAAGCGCTCTGCAATGCTTACCCCCCTACCACATGGCACTTCGCGCGCCGTACTTCTACAGCTGTTCACAGCGTGCTGATCCCCGGGTTTCCCCTCCACATGTAGAGAGTGAACACAACCACGCGTCTAGAGTGAACACCGCCACGCGTCCAGAGCGACCACTGCCACGTATCTAGAAGTGAACACCGCCACGCGTCCAGAGCGAACACTGCCACGTATCTAGAGTGACCACCGCCACGCGTCTAAAGTGAACACCACCACGCGTCCAGAGCGAACACCGCCACGTGTCTAGAGTGACCACCGCCACGCGTCTAGAGTGAACACCGCCACGCGTCTAGAGTGACCACCGCCACGCGTCTAGAGTGAACACCGCCACGTGTCTAGAGTGAACACCGCCACGCGTCTAGAGTGAACACCGCCACGTGTCTAGAGTGAACACTGCCACGCGTCTAGAGTGAACACCACCACGCGTCCAGAGCGAACACTGCCACGTATCTAGAGTGACCACCGCCAGGCGTCTAGAGTGAACACCACCACGCGTCTAGAGTGACACCGCCACGCGTCTAGAATGAACACCGCCACACGTCTAGAGTGAACACCACCACGTGTCTAGAGTGAACACCGCCACGCGTCAAGAGTGAACACCACCACGTGTCTAGAGTGAACACTACCACGTGTCTAGAGTGAACACCGCCACGCGTCTAGAGTGAACACCGCCACGTTTTTAGAGTGAACACCACCACGCGTCTAGAGTGAACACACCGCCACGCGTCTAGAGTGAACACCGCCACGCGTCTAGAGTGAACACCGCCATGCGTCTAGAGGTGAACAACCGCCATGCGTCTAGAGTGAACACCGCCACGCGTCTAGAGTGAACACCGCCACGCGTCTAGAGTGAACACCACCACGTGTCTAGAGTGAACACCGCCACGCGTCTAGAGTGAACACCACCACACGTCTAGAGTGAACACCGCCACGCGTCTAGAGTGAACACCACCACGCGTCTAGAGTGAACACCACCACGCGTCTAGAGTGAACACCACCACGCATCTAAAGTGAACACCACCACGCGTCTAGAGTGAACACCGCCACGCGTCTAGAGTGAACACCACCACGTGTTTAGAGTGAACACCACCACACGTCTAGAGTGAACACCGCCACGCGTCTAGAGTGAACACCACCACGTGTGTAGAGTGAACACCGCCACACGTCCAGAGTGAACACCGCCATGCGTCTAGAGTGAACACCGCCACGCGTCCAGAGTGAACACTGCCACGCGTCTAGAGTGAACACCACCACGCGTCCAGAGTGAACACCGCCACGTGTCTAGAGTGAACACCGCCACGTGTCTAGAGTGAACACCGCCACGCGTCTAGAGTGAACACCGCCACGCGTCTAGAGTGAACACCACCACGCGTCTAGAGTGAACACCACCACGCGTCTAGCGTGAACACCGCCACGCGTCTAGAGTGAACACCGTCACGCGTCTAGAGTGAACACCGCCACGTGTCTAGAGTGAACACCACCACGCGTCTAGAGTGAACACCACCACGCGTCTAGAGTGAACACCACCACGTGTCTAGAGTGAACACCGCCAGGCGTCTAGAGTGAACACCACCACATGTCTAGAGTGAACACCGCCATGCGTCTAGAGTGAACACCGCCACGCGTCTAGAGTGAACACCACCACGCGTCTAGAGTGAACACCGCCATGCGTCTAGAGTGAACACCACCACGCGTCTAGAGTGAACACCACCACGTGTCTAGAGTGAACACCACCACGCGTCCAGAGTGAACACCACCACGCGTCTAGAGCGAACACCGCTACGTGTCTAGAGTGAACACCACCACGCATCTAGAGTGAACACCACCACGCGTCTAGAGTGAACACCACCACGCGTCTAGAGTGAACACCGTCACGCGTCTAGAGTGAACACCGCCACGTGTCTAGAGTGAACACCACCACGCGTCCAGAGTGAACACCACCACGCGTCTAGAGTGAACACCACCACGTGTCTAGAGTGAACACCACCACGCGTCCAGAGTGAACACCACCACGCGTCTAGAGCGAACACCGCCACGTGTCTAGAGTGAACACCACCACGCGTCTAGAGTGAACACCACCACGCGTCCAGAGTGAACACCGTCACGCGTCTAGAGTGAACACCGCCACGCGTCTAGAGTGAACACCGCCACGCGTCTAGAGCGAACACCGCCACGCGTCTAGAGTGAACACCACCACGTGTCTAGAGTGAACACCACCACGCGTCTAGAGTGAACACCACCACGTGTCTAGAGTGAACACCACCACGCGTCCAGAGTGAACACCACCACGCGTCTAGAGCGAACACCGCCACGTGTCTAGAGTGAACACCACCACGCGTCCAGAGTGAACACCGTCACGCGTCTAGAGTGAACACCGCCACGCGTCTAGAGTGAACACCGCCACGCGTCCAGAGTGAACACCGTCACGCGTCTAGAGTGAACACCACCACGCGTCTAGAGTGAACACCACCACGCGTCTAGAGTGAACACCGCCACGTGTCTAGAGTGAACACCGCCACGTGTCTAGAGTGAACACCGCCACGTGTCTAGAGTGAACACCGCCACGTGTCTAGAGTGAACACCACCACGTGTCTAGAGTGAACACCACCACGTGTCTAGAGTGAACACCGCCACGTGTCTAGAGTGAACACCACCACGCGTCTAGAGTGAACACCACCACGCTGTTGACGAGCCTCACCTTGTTGTTGTTGTGGGCAGGTCACTTCTGATAACAAGAGCGGTACAGCAGCTCAAGCGGGCGTGGCCTGGTAACAAATAAAACGGTGTTAATATAGAATATTTAAACAAAGTTACAAAGTGGCGATCCGTGTGAAGACAAATTCAACTTAAGCGAGAGAATTGAAGCAAACGCCATCAGGCTTTCACGAATAAATTATGTTAATGAGCCGCCAGTCACCGGGCGTGGCTTTGCCCAAATAAGGATTGGCACTGGAACAGACATCGGCTGCGGCCGAGCGAAAGTGACGTCACGCTCAAGAGCTCGGTGGTCGGGGTAGGTGACATGACGTCCCTAGCGAGGCACACCTCCCCCTGGCGTTTGACGCAGATGAGGTCACGCTGAGCGGCGACGTCTGAGGGCGGGGTCAGAGTTCAAGTTTGTTGACAGAAGGGGAGCGGCAGTGTCGTGCTGAGCGCTGCGCCGAGTTCCATTCCCGCTCGTGGCCAACATCGCCAGTGACGACTTTCTGAGCCGGTCCTGAGCCTCCCCTACGTCGAGTCAGCCTCAAAAGAGTACCCGATGCGGTGTCAACATCGCCACTGGGGAGACAAAGGCGGCCGGGCGTGGTGCTGGCCACCCACCCCCTCGTGTGTTGTCCCACCCTTAATAGGTGCTCGCTAACAGCACTGCCCCAACATTCTGTGCAGGCTTTACGGGGGATCTTTGTGTTTGTGTTAGGTGATCGCTAACAGCACTTGCCCTGACATTCTGTCCAGGCTTTACGGGGGATCTTTGTCTTTGTGTTGGGAGCAACTTTGAGTGGCGTGTAGCCGTGGGAGCTGAACGGGCGCCTGCTGCTACTGACAGTCGTTGACTGCGGTGGGACAGACAGACAAGACATGCGGACAGACACAGACAAGAGGAACACAGAGACGACATGGACAGAGACAGGCAGAGAGAGAGAGACACATAGAGGCGAATAGAGGCGAACAGAGACACAGAGGCGAACAGAGAGATGTTGAATCGAACTCACTGAACTCGCTCCATTGAAAGAGATTCCTCGCTCTTTGCCCATCCCCGGAAGTCGTTCTAGTTTCTATTTATTTCCCTGTGTGGTGTGTAGTGTAAGCCATGTGGGATATCGATGTACACGGATATGAACTAGATCAGCAGACAAGACGTATTTCATTTCTCAGTCTCTCCGCGAAACAAAGGAATGTTTAACACAAAATATAATAACTACTGCAGCATTCAGTGCAAGTCAACTGTGGACCGGTTTTGGTGTACAATTTATACGTAAATATATAAGCACACGACTTCATTTGTCTGTGACGAACGCTGCACTTTCCATCGCTTTCATGCAGGGGGCGCTGCAAACCTACGCGCCCCCTGCATGAACGACGGAGGCGCAGGGACAGACGTCCGATCGCGTTGGAATCAATCTGCAGACGGCGGTCTTCTCCCAACCAGGTGAAAGTCCGCATCGAACAGAATCCGCGGCAAGGCAATCTACTTAACGACTAGAGAAAATTCACATGAAATGTCGTTTTCAATTAAGTCTTCCATATGTAAAATGATATAAGCTTTAAAGAAAAAATACAATGATCTAATGCAAAACATAATACAATTCAAAGTTGTTTCATTTTGAAACTTCACAACGGAGCATCGGGTGCTTGCGTGAATGCGTCTTTCGGGTGCAATTTTTTCGTGACTTTCCTGGCCCAAGGCCGTAAATGGTTGAGGGGCACCGCAGGCGGTCAGGCTTGCTTCACCCCATGGTTGTGAACATCCAGACGTTAATCAGCAAGGACCATTTCTTGTCCTAGTTCGCCAACATATAAGACGTCATGCAAAATTCTAATGAGTGTTGTTGTGGAGAATGTATCTGCTAGATGTGCTCTGCCTTGTAACCAAATACAAACCTGTACCAAAAATGTATTTCAAATAGGCTCTTAGAATTACCTCCTTGCTATAAAGCAGATCAGCAGACACGACATCTTTCATTTATCGATCTCTCCACGAAACAAATGAATGTTTTACACAAACTATAACTAGCACAGACTTCTGGGAGCGCGTCATTGATTCAGTGCAAGCCACCTGTGGACCCTTATTGGTGCACAGCGTCTCAACAGCAGCCGGGCTTGTTTCAACCGATAGTTACGGACATCCAGACGTTAATCAGCAAGGAGCATTTCTAGTCCGAGTTAGACAAAATCTACGTCAACACGTAATGCAAAATTATAATGGTGAGATGAATGGTTAGAGTGAGTGGTGAGGGAGAGTGGGGAGGGTGAGTGATGAGGGTGAGTGGTGAATAGTGAGTAGTGAGGGTAAGTGGTGATGGTGAGTAGTAAGGGTGAGTGGTGGGGATGAGTGGTGAGGGTGAGTGGTGAGGGTCAGTGGTGAAGGTGAGTGGTTAGGGTGAGTGGTGAGTGGTGAGGGTGATTGGTGATTGGTGAGGGTGAGTGGTGAGGGTGAATGGTGAGGGTGAGTGGTGAGGGTGAGTGGCGGTTGTGAATGGTGATTAGTGAGGGGTGAGTGGTGAGGGTGAGCGTGAGTGCTGAGGGTGAGTGGTGAGCGGTGAGGGTGAGCAGTGAGGGTGAGTGGTGATTGGTTAGTGTGTGATTGATGAGGATGAGTGGTGAGGGTGAATGGTTGTTGTGAGGGTGAGTGGTGATTAGTGAGTGGTGAGTGTGAGTGGTAATGGTGAGTGGTAATCATGAGTGGTGAGGGTGAGTGGTGAGCGTGAGTGGTGAGGGTGAGTGGTGATTGGTGAGGGTGTGATTGGTGAGGATGAGTAGTGAGTAGTGAGGGTGAGTGGTGAGGGTGAGTGGCGGTTGTGAGTGGCGGTTGTGATTGGTGAGGGTGAGTGGTGAGCGTGAGTGGTGAGTGGTGAGGGTGAGCGGTGATTTGTGGGGGTGTGATTGGTGAGGATGAGTGGGGAGTGGTGAGGATGAGTGGTGAGTAGTGAGGGTGAGTGGTGAGGGTGAGTGGTGGTTGTGAGTGGTGATTAGTGAGGGGTGAGTGGTGAGGGTGAGCGTGAGTGGTGAGTGGTGAGGTTGAGTGGTGAGGGTGAGCGGTGACGGTGAGCAGTGAGGGTGAGCAGTGAGGGTGAGTGGTGATTGGTGAGGGTGTGATTGGTGAGGATGAGTGGTGAGTGGTGAGGGTGCGTGGTAAGGGTGAGTGGTGAGCGGTGAGGGTGAGTGGTTGTTGTGAGGGTGAGTGGTGAGGGTGAGTGGTGAGAGTGAGTAGTGAGGATGAGTGGTGAGGGTGAGTGGCGGTTGTGAGTGGTGATTAGTGAGTGGTGAGGGTGAGTGGCGAGGGTGACTGGTGAGGGAGAGTGGTGAGTGATGAGTGTGGTAAGTGGTGAGGGTGAGTAGTGAGTGGTGAGCGTGAGTGGTGATTAGTGCGGGTGAGTGGTGAGGTTGAGTGGTGAGTGGTGAGGGTGAGTGGCGGTTGTGAGTGGTGATTAGTGAGGGGTGAGTGGTGAGGGTGAGCGGTGAGTGGTGAGGGTGAGTGGTGAGGGTGAGTGGTGAGCGGTGAGGGTGAGCAGTGAGGGTGAGTGGTGATTGGTGAGGGTGTGATTGATGAGGATGAGTGGTGAGGGTGAGTGGTTGTTGTGAGGGTGAGTGGTGAGGGTGAGTGGTGGTTGTGAGTGGTAATTAATGAGGGGTGAGTGGTGAGGGTTAGCGTGAGTGGTGAGTGCTGAGATTGAGTGGTGAGGGTGAGCGGTGACGATGAGCAGTGAGGGTGAGCAGTGAGGGTGAGTGGTGATTGGTGAGGGTGTGATTGGTGAGGATGAGTGGTGAGTGGTGAGGGTGAGTGGTAAGGGTGAGTGGTGAGCGGGGAGGGTGAGTGGTTGTTGTGAGGGTGAATGGTGAGGGTTAGTGGTGAGAGTGAGTGGTGAGGGTGAGTGGCGGTTGTGAGTTGTGATTAGTGAGTGGCGAGGGTGAATGGTAATGGTGAGTGGTGAGTGGTGAGCGTGAGTGGTGAGTGGTGAGCGTGAGTGGTGAGTGGTGAGGGTGAGTGCTGAGCAGTGAGGGTGAGCAGTGAGGGTGAGCAGTGAGGGTGAGTGGTGATTGGTGAGGGTGTGATTGGTGAGGATGAGTGGTGAGGGTGAGTGGTGAGGGTGAGTGGTGAGCGGTGAGGGTGAGTGGTTGTTGTGAGGGTGAGTGGTGGACACTCGCTAAATAACCTAACCAACATGGACACTCACTAAATAACCTAACCATCATGGACACTCGCTAAATGACCTAACCAACATGGACACTCGCTAAATAATCTAACCAACATGGACACTCGCTAAATAACCTAACCATCATGGACACTCGCTAAATAACCTAACCATCATGGACACTCGCTAAATAACCTAACCATCATGGACACTCGCTAAATAACCTAACCATCATGGACACTCGCTAAATAACCTAACCATAATGGACACTCGCTAAATAACCTAACCATCATGGACACTCGCTAAATAACCTAACCATCATGGACACTCGCTAAATAACCTAACCATCATGGACACTCGCTAAATAACCTAACCAACATGGACACTCGCTAAATAACCTAACCAACATGGACACTCGCTAAATGACCTAACCAACATGGACACTCGCTAAATAACCTAACCAACATGGACACTCGCTAAATAACCTAACCATAATGGACACTCGCTAAATAACCTAACCAACATGGACACTCGCTAAATAACCTAACCACATGGACACTCGCTAAATAACCTAACCATCATGGACACTCGCTAAATAACCTAACCATCATGGACACTCGCTAAATAACCTAACCATCATGGACACTCGCTAAATAACCTAACCAACATGGACACTCGCTAAATAACCTAACCAACATGGACACTCGCTAAATGACCTAACCAACATGGACACTCGCTAAATAACCTAACCAACATGGACACTCGCTAAATAACCTAACCATCATGGACACTCGCTAAATAACCTAACCAACATGGACACTCGCTAAATAACCTAACCAACATGGACACTCGCTAAATGACCTAACCAACATGGACACTCGCTAAATAACCTAACCAACATGGACACTCGCTA